GGTAGCAAAATTCATTTTGAAATGTAATATGCAAAATGACAATGCAATGTGTAAAATGGCCATGCATTTCTTTATTTAAATTTACATTTTCCCATACATATGTGCAACGTTTAGTGCAAAATGAAAATTCAATTATATAATTTAGATTTGCCATTTCCTACACTAGTTTTAATATGTAAATGAAAAACATATACAACTTTATAAATTGCAACATGAAAATTAAAATGTATTACCCAAATTGATTAGATGTTTAAAATGTCCAAGCAAAAACTGTAGCAAAATGATCATTTAGATGATAATATAATTTAGATTTAGATGATAAATGCATTTAGACTTACGGGTAGGACACTTTTTCATTGTGATACCGCGTGATAATTGTAGCAAAATGCATTTAGGAAAAATGTCATTTAAATGATAATTTTGCTACAGTTTTTGCTTGGACATGTTAAACATATCTAATCAATTTGGGTAATACGATTTCATTTGAATTTTGCCACTAATAAAGTGTAAAAATATGTTTTTCATTTACATATTAAAACTAGTGTAGGAAATGGCAAATCTAAATTATATAATTGAATTTTCATTTTGCACTAAACGTTGCACATATGTATGGGAAAATGTAAATTTAAATAAAGAAATGCATTGCCATTTTACATATTGCATTGTCATTTTGCATATTACATTTCAAAATGAATTTTGCTACCAATATGCTTCCATAGACATGGATACCGAAATGTTTAGTCTGGGATACAACTGTAAATGCCATCAGGGTATATGTTTACATATACAGCCATAAGTTACGACTTTAGACCAGCATCCACCTTGATGAATGTAGATACTGTGAGTGACTCGAAAAGAATAATGCATTGTCCAATCATTGTGTACGTTATTGAATGTCCAAGTGTTTTTTCATTTGTGCTCTTTCTAGTTCATTTTGAGGAACTTCAGTCTTACTCAGTTGTTTCTGTATGTCCTTTGACCATTTCTGTTGTTTTGTAATGAGAAAAACGGAAAGCTTTTTGATTACTTGCATTAAAAAGGACTTTCCAGATGACTGCATCGATGGACGTTTATGAGTCTTTACACTGTTTGTGAATGTATGTTAGAAGAAGACAGGAATGTCTGGAATGAGCTGGGTGGGAAAGAGGGCAAGCACTTTCAAAAACAAAGGAAAACTCTGAAAAAGATTCATAATTACTCACTGTTTGTGTACATATGCATGCAACTTGGGTCATTGTGACGGAAACTTATTTCTATGTGAGGGGGTGGGTTTCAGACGTCCAGTGTGTATTGCAGGCTGCCACACAAACATTTTCTAGGCATGGAGCCTGTGCTGGAAGAGCGTCACACTTTGTACAGCACTGCAGTGAACTGAGGACTACAGACTTCTGACCTCTAGAATAAGGATAGGCTGATTTCTGATCGTCTCTGTCCCAGAACAGGCTCTTTTCCTCAGATAAACACCTCTACCAGCCTGTCCTGCGATGCCCGCCGCTGGAGCCTCAGAGTGAGTATAACTGCTAAGCTTTGGGTTTGAGTGTGTGTGTGTTTGTTTGTTTAGATTGAATATGTAAGAAAAAGAAAAAAAAAACAAAAAAACAACTTTATTTAGTTGTCAAACACTGCATTTGTAGTTCATCGTAGAGTGTTACAGTTACAGTGTTTGTCTCTTTTTCATAAGATTCATAATACTTTTAATAACTCACAAAGTAATGTGTTTGTGTTTGTCTGAGTAGTTTGATCTTAGCAGTAGACATAACTTTGCTCTAAAAACAGACCAGTGTCACATGAAGAAACAGGAGACCAGACAGCAGGGTATGTGTGTGGGTTTGTA